TGGGAGAGCCTGGAGTGGGCTGGGAGAGCCTGGAGTGGGCTGGGAGAGCCTGGAATGGGCAGAGAGAGCCTGGAATGGGCAGAGAGAGCCTGGAATGGGCTGGGAGAGCCTGGAATGGGCTGGGAGAGCCTGGAATGGGCTGGGAGAGCCTGGAATGGGCTGGGAGAGCCTGGAATGGGCTGGGAGAGCCTGGAATGGGCTGGGAGAGCCTGGAATGGGCAGCTCCAGGCATGGAATGGGCAGCTCCACACCTTGGATCCCCAGGGATTCCCTGGATGCTGGCAGAGCCCACCCAGCCTCCCCCACATTCCCTTTAAATTCTTGGGATGTGCTCATTCCCATCCAAGATTACCCAAGAAATGGGAAATACCAAGAAATGAGAAACACCAACAGCCTCCAAATCCAGGCAGCTCTGGAACAACTTCAGATTCTCTAATTTATCTGATAAAAAAATCATTTTTTTGGAAGAATTCTGGGATGCTGAGATAATAAATACTTGAAACAACTCCCAGATTTCCAGAAACTTGGGAAAAACTCCAGAAAAAGAAAGGAAAAATGTAAGAAAAAGGGTTAAATTCCCAAAATTCCCATCATCTTTCCAACCCTGTTATCCCAACTTTTTCCAAACAACCATCAGCTGGAGGATTTTTGGGAGTCAGAACAAAGGAAGCTTTAATCATCCCAAGGATAATCCCAAAAAAAAAAAAAAAAGCTTTTTATTTTTTATTTTTACCTGAGCAAAATAGAGTTTGAGTTCTTTTCCAAGGAATTCTGTCTTGTCCAGCTGGATCCTGGCATCTGCTGCAGACAAGGGGTTGCTGAAGTTTATTCTCACTCTTTTGAAGCTTTTAAAATACTGAAAGGTGAGGTCCCTGTCGTAGGGTCGGAACAGGGATTCAAATTTAGCCTGGAGAGAAAAGAGCAGAGGGAAAAATCAGCATTAATCACTAATTAATTAATAATTATTAATATTTAATATATATTTCATAATATTTATATTTATATTTCATATATAATATTATATATTTATATCTGTATTTATAGTTATATTCACATTTCTATTTATATTTTTATATATTTATATTATATTACATATTTATATTATATATTATATATTATATATTATATATTATATATTATATTAAATTATATATGATATATGATATATGATATATGATATATGATATATGATATATGATATATGATATATTATATATAAATAAGTGTTTAACAATTATTATTTATTAATAATAAATAATAACTAATTAAGAAATTAATTAGAAATGAAAAGTTATTATTAAGGGCAAAGTACCACTCTTGAATATTGATTATTATAACAGCTTCATTCCTTTTTCTTTCTAGGATAAAGTTTTCTACCTTATCAAAGAGATTATTATCATTAAAAGAGATTATTATTATTATTATTAATAAATGATATTTTCACTTAGTATGTTATTATCAGGAATAAATGCTGGATTTAGCCAACAGTGAGATGTTGAAAAGAAATGTTTCTTAAAAAAATCAATACCCAAAAAACTTGAAAGAAGTTTTTTTTGAGCTTTTGCCCAAATATTCAAATTTCAAGCGAACTGACACAAGTTTTGACAGAGAAATAATGGAAAAAAATCCTGATTTTCAAGCTGAATGTGATTTTTTTTCAGTGACTCAGCAGCCAGAATGAAGCCCATGAACGTCTCCTGCCTTCCTGCTATTTTAAACTGAATTTTTGGAGAGTGTTTCCACTCTCCCTGCAGGACTCCAAGCCACAAGAGGAGGCTCTGGAGCTGCCAGGCCCTTCCCAAGTGTTTTATTCCAACGGGGTCAGGATTCAAATTTGAGGCATTTCCAGATATTTTCTCTCCCCTAAAAGCTTTCTAGAAACTCAGGATAAAGCCACAATAAACATTACTTCAGTGAGGGATTTTTACTACAATATTTTGAATTAGGAGGGGGGAAAAAAAGCAGGGAAATTACCTAAGAAGGCAGAAATTAATTCAGAATTTTGTTTTTCTCCCTGAGAAGCTCCACTCACCACAGCTGGGTATAAAATCATTGCATTTCAAAGAGATTTTAAAATCAGAGCTGTTCTGCTTCTCCAACTTCTTTAGAATGAGCTCTGAAACAGGAGCAGGATGAAAATACACCCAAAAATTGCATTTCCAAGTTCTCATTCCGTATTTAAACCCAGAGAGATCTGTTACTTTAAAAAATGTATTTATTTATTATTGAATTTAAAATTAAAATGTGATTAGAGAGGTCAGAAATGTCACTTTGGCACTATGACACTAAAGAAAAAAAATAAATTGTTTTTGTCCTTAAGGTACCTTAGCAGTAACAATTCACTGTAACATGACTGATATTTTATATTATTTTATATTTACATTACTTATTATTTATATTATTTTAGATTTACATTATTAAATAAGACACTTAAGGCATCTTAGCAGCAACAATTTACTGTAACAGGACTGATATTTTATATTATTTTAGATTTACATTACTTATTATTCATATTATTTTATATTTACATTATTAAATATTTACATTATTAAATAAGATACTTAAGGTATCTTAGCAGTAACAACTCACTAACACAACTGATATTTTACATTATCTTATATTTACATTATTTATATTATTTTATATTTACATTATTAAATATTTACACTATTTATTTAAGATACTTAAGGTACTTTAGCAGTAACAATTCACTGTAAAAGGACTGATATTTTATATTATTTTAGATTTACATTACTTATTATTTATATTATTTTAGATTTACATTACTTATTTATATTATTTTAGATTTACATTATTAAATATGTACAATATTTCTTTAAGATACTTAAGGTATCTTAGCAGCAACAATTCACTGTAACAGGACTGATATTTTATATTATTTTAGATTTACATTATTAAATATTTACACTATTTCTTAAAGATACTTAAGGTATCTTAGCAGTAACAATTCACTGTAAATTTTAATTTTAATAAAATATATTATTTTATATTTACATTACTTATTATTTATATTATTTTACATTTACATTATTAAATATTTATTTAAGATACTTAAGGTATCTCAGCAGTAACAACTCACTAACAGAACTGATTAACAATTCACTGTAACATGACAAATACTTTACATTATTTTATATTTGCATTATTTATTACTTATTTTCTATTGCAAATCAGCTAAATACAGACCTAAGGAGATTTCTTATCGTTTTACCAGGATAAAAAAAGAAAATCCCAGGAGAAGCAGCAAATGGATCACAAATTAGTGGATTTTGCTATCATTAAAAATTATATAATTACTAATATTAGAATTAAATATTTGCTGAAAATTCAGAATACACAACGCAGTCAAAGCAGTCTGGAGGGAAAACTTTGAGATCATTTTCCCAACCACACAAATCTAAAATTGAATCATTCCCAGAGCTGGAATCATCCCCATCACATCAGGCTGCTTCAAGACTTTCAGGATAAATTGGAATTTTTTTTTCCAAGTGCAAATCCCGTTTGGAGCAGCAGGAATTGCCGGGGATGAAGGCGTGAAACGTACCCTTGTTTCTGGCTGGGTGAAGATCTCCCCATCCGCCAGGCAGGCGATGAGCGAGCTGAAACTGTAATGGAAATTACGGAAATGCATTTCGGAATTCAGAAATCCCGGGATTTTCAGGATCTCTGCCTGCCGCACGTAGAGTTTATAAAGCAAAACCACTCCAGCTCTTGGTGAAAAATAAAACTCCAAAGCTCTCAGAGCATCCTGTGTGTGACAGGGAATTCCTGCACGCTCCGAAGGAGTCGGGAACAAAATATAAGCGGGACTGGAAAGAGGTGACGTCAGCAATTAGTCAGCTTCCCTCTGCTAATTACCAGGAGCATGGAAAATCCAGCTGAGCTGAGCAGGGCAGCTGCTGTGGCCAGGATCTTGCAGCATAGTTTCCACTGGCAGTAATTCCATGCAGCTCCCACTCCGAGCTGGGATGGAAAATGTTCCTGCCTGGGCAGAACGCTGCGGGAATGGAGCGAAGGGAGCAGGAAAAGTGCCCAATTCCTGATTCCTTGGGGATGGAAAATAAATCCCACAGCTCGCTTCTTGTTCCATGAAATGCTCACAGGTTGAAGTCTCAGACTGATTTGGGAAAATGATTCTCATCCCATCACAAGGAGGATTTATTTGGAAGCTTCTTCAAAGCGATTCCGTGGGTTAATTATCGTTCTCGCCTTATTAAAAACTCTTTCCCAGCCTCATAAAGCCAGGAGGGTTTTGTTGGGGGCTGCTTGAGGAATTTCCAGATCTTTTCTCTCCCTAAAAACTTCTTAGAAACTCATAAACAATCCTAGATAAACTCTAGGATTTTATATATATATATAATATATATATATATATATATATATATAATATATATATTATATATATGTGTGTGTATATATATATATTATATATATGTATATTTTATATATTTTTTTACATTTATATTTATATATTTTATATATAACTCTATTTTATCTCCTAGATAAAATAAAAAAATCCTAGATAAAGCCACAATAATCATTACTTCAGTGAGTGTTTTTACTCCAATATTTTGAATTAGGAAGGGGAATTTTTGCTTCTTTCTTCCTACCAGGGGCTTGTTCAGCAATCTATACCAGAACCTGAGACACAGCAGCAGGGAGCAGGTGTGGAACCCAAATTCCTGACATTTTCTGGGACACCTGTATCCCAGTTTCAAAGCTTTTCCCAAAAAAAAAGCAGTACAGAACACAGGTTTTTGTGGATTATTTTTGGGAGCTTTTTTGTTTCGTGTGGTTTTTTTGGGGTTTTTTTTAATCAAGAACCATTAAAAAAACTCATCAGCATTTCAAGTAATTAATGAAGTTTATAAACTGAAGCTTTCACAAGCTATTTGGAACTCTCTTATGCTCCAAAATGATAATGCAGCCAAAATCTCAAGTGCCTTTAGTTCACTCTGTTTTAACACAGGTTTATGACAGAAGCACCAAGTTTTAAGGAAGACCTGCAAACAATGCACAGTGCCAAGTTTAAAACCTGATTTCACCAATATTTAACTTTTCACATGAAGTTTATTCAAAAGTTTATAAATTTTTTAGAAGTAGATTGATTTTTAGAAGACTATTCTCCATTTTTAGGGGGTCTACTTGCTAAATTTAAAGTCAAATTCTCTGCTGTTCTTAGGTTAAAAGTTACCACAGCATGAAAAGAATAAAATACAATTTCTTAGAACTTTTTCTCGGAAGTCCTCACTTAAAAAATCCCAGGATCACTGGAGTTGGAAAAGCATTTCAAGGCTATCAAATCCAACCTGTGACTGATTCATCACCCCCCTGTCCCCAGCCCAGAGTGCCACATCCAGACATTCCTTGGACACCTCCAGGGATGGGGAATCCATCCTGCCAAGGCTCCTTTCTGGGAAGAACGGGATAAATTCCATCAGGGAGGATGGGATGAGAGCTCTGCACTGGGCACACACAGAAATTCAGGATTCACAACCAGCCCTGACACCTCCGATCCCAGAAAACCACACCAAGCACATCCTAAATCCTGTCCCTGACCTGGAATCTGCTGCCAGGTATCCTCAAGATATTTGGGATGTGGAAGGAACAGGCAATGACTCCATAAAGCAGAGGTTGGGATGCTCACCTGGAAGGAATGGCCATGAATCACCTGAGCACAAAACAGGCTGCACAACACCGGCAACGCTGCAGCTCTGAGAGAGAGCAGAGCAGGTTCCTGGCCCAAGCTGGGTCACTGCAGCACCTCTGGGGGACACTGCTGGCCCTGGAGCTCAGGAAGAGTAAAAGAGTAAAAATCTCTCTGATCACCCTCCTACAATTTACTGAGAGCCAGGGAAAATGACTTCAGGAGCCACCCTTCAAAATCTGTCATCTAATCCAATCTGGCTACAAACAAACCAAGTGGGTCTGAGAATTTTTCCACAGTGTTCTCCAGATTTAAAAGAAACATTTAAGTCCTACTGATAGACACAATGTTTTTAATTTGCCTTTTTAAAACTCTGAAGAAATCACTCCTGGTATGTTCCATTTTGTCACAATCATCATGATTTTTTGACATGGTTGGGTGAGAAATTATGGAATTACAAAAAGGTTTGGGTGGGGAGGGATTTTAAGGATTATCTCATTTCCAGCTCTGCCATGGCAGGGCCACCTCCCACTGTCCCAGGAGCTCCCAATGTCCAGCCTGGCCTTGGGCACTGCCAGGGATCCAGGGGCAGCCCCAGCTGCTCTGGCAATTCCATCCCAGCCCCTGCCCACCCTGCCAGGGAACAATTCCTGCCCAAGATCCCATCCAGCCCTGCCCTTCTCCAGCTCAGCTCAGGTCTCTCAGTGTATTAAATAAACCACTTTGAGTTATTAACATCAAACATCAAAATGGCATTTTGTCAAAAGAAAAGCCCCAGTTCCCAGTGCCCCTGGAGCAGGTAAAGAAGAGGTTGTTTAAGGCAGGGTTTGGTGTGGAGAGCCCTGAGCTGATGTGGAAACCACGAGGCAAAGTTACAAAAGCCCCATTGCCAAACCCTGAGTGTTGCAATGTTCCCTCCACGGGCTCAGCTCCTGGAAGGTTTGGTACCCCTGTGCAAAGACCTTGGCTGGGACAGGAACATTGCAGCACCTCAGGAGTCCTGGATTTGATGTTCTGATATTATCAGAGGGCACCTTTTCTGCTCCCTTATCTCCCTTTGGAGAGGTTGCTGCTTCCTGTCCTCTCCTTGAGCCTCCCTGGTGAGCGACAGCCAGAACAAGGGCAAAAATCACCTGCACAGGAGCTGCTGGAGAGAGCCCAGAGGAGGCTCCAGGATGAGCAGAGGGATGGAGCAGCTCTGCTGGCAGCAAAGGCTGGCACAGCTGCCATTGTTCAGCCTGGCCAGGAGAAGCTTTGGGCTGAGCTCAGGGTGGCCTTGCAGGGCCTGAAGGAGCCCCAGGAAAGCTGGAGAGAGACAATTGCCAAGGGCTGGAGAGAGAGGATCCAAGGAATATCTTCCCACTGCCAGAGAGCATGGATAGATAGGATTTGGGGCAGGAATTGTTCCCTGGCAGGGTGGGCAGGGGCTGGGATGGAATTGCCAGAGCAGCTGGGGCTGTCCCTGGATCCCTGGCAGTGTCCAAGGCCAGGCTGGACATTGGGAGCTCCTGGGACAGTGGGAGGTGTCCCTGCCATGGCAGGGATGGCACTGGGTGGCATTCAGGGTCCTTCCCAACCCAAACCATTCCATGGTGCTGCTGCTCTTTGGGAAAGAAAGCAAAGGGGTCAGAGCAGTGGGACAGGACAGCAGGATCAGCTCTACTCAGCTTTCACCTTTCCCTTGAAAGCTGCAAATTCCTGGGCTCACATTCTGGAAACTGAGTTCTAAAATTGCAGACAAGGTGCTCCCAAACACCAAGATCACCTGACAGATCCTCCAGCACTTCCCAAGGACAGAAATGTGACAGAGATCATTTTTTGAACATTTTTGGGGGCTTGGAAGGACAATCAGAGAGTCCAATAAATATTTGGAATAGTGTGAACACAGAATGATGGAATGCCATAATTAGCCCCACAATTTCATTTCCATGTGCAGTGGAACAAGTCAGGCACAGGAGAGAAGTGAGACCACAGAAGCAGAAATAGGGCAATTCACCAAAAATACCAATAACAACAACAGCAAAGTGAACAATCAGAGAAATAAAATCAATGTGAAGTTAAATATGTTGGGAATTCTTTAAATCAATAAAATTACCCCATAAATCAGAACAATCCAGTCCATTCTCCCTCCTCCCTGGCAGGTTTTACAGCTGCCCTTGGAGGTGCTCTTTGTGTAATCCCTGTACTCCCACTCCAGACCTGCTGCTCTTTTCCTATCAACACACAGCTTCTATTCCTGTCTCCATGTTAATTATCCTGCCTCACCCCACCACAGGGATAAACATCTTGGAGTTATCTACAATGAAAATCACACAGGGCTCATTGTGCTGGGGGTTGCCAAAGGACAGGGAGGAGCAGCCAGAAAGGCATGAACAGGTTCCAGAGTTATCTGTGCATATTTGGGGTCAGGAAGCTCTGTGGGCACTGGCACAAACCTGGATCAGATATTGGGAAGAAATTCCTCCCTGTGAGGGTGGGAAGGCCCTGGCACAGGGTGCCCAGAGAAGCTGTGCCCCATCCCAAATTATTCCATGATTCTGAGCTGCCTGCTCACCCAGAGCCAGCAGTGAGGGCACTGAGTTAAAATCATTTGCCTCCACAGCCCTGCACAAGTCTTACTCTCATTTTACTGGCCAAAAACAAACCCTTGCTCCCCACAAAAATATAATAATAAAAAATACCCCAAAACAAAAATGATAAATTCCCAGACTGGTTTGGGTTGGAAGGGATATTAAAGCTCATCCAGTGCCCCCTCTGCCATGGCAGGGACACCTCCCACTGTCCCAGCTGCTCCCAATGTCCAGCCTGGCCTTGGGCACTGCCAGGGATCCAGGGGCAGCCCCAGCTGCTCTGGGCACCCTGTGCCAGGGCCTCATTGTCCTCTGAATAAATTTCTTCCTAAAATTTCTTTAACATTAATATTGGGTGATAATTCTGCCTCCCTTCTCCTCCCTGTGT